GTTTATTTGCACAGTCCCTATAACTGCGCTTTGCATCCACTTTCTGCTGATTGCTGATCGAGATTGACATGCTAAATGGCCGACTGACCCGGTACAATCTCATTCATCTAGTTCACGAACGAGATATGTATGGGCTTAGATCTCTGCCACAATTCTGCGCGCGAAATATCATATTTTGAGAGCACAAAAGTGCATTTTGCATGCCCGCGATCTGAGTTTTGAGGAGAAAATGTTTCGCAAAGAAAAAAGTATATAAATATATATTATAATAATAGTATATATTAAAAGTAATAAAATATTTACAAAAATGTGAGGGGTGTACTCACTTCTGTGAGATACTGTATATATATATATACATATATAAAATGATTAAATACAAGATTAATAGTAGTTATTAAGATTGATGTTGTTTGGAATTGGTAAAATGAGCTTGGAAAAAAAATATGATCAGAATATCAACTTGCATAATTATGCATGCACTGTATTTTTCCTCTTCTGCTGTCGAGGTAATGCAAGGAATGTTGTGATTGGTTGTCAAGGCAACCAATCAGAATTTAGCAGCCTCGTCTCTGATTGGCTGGAATTATGACATATTGTAACGCTGGGTTGTGTTGAGCAAGTGAGCTGTTGGCATTTAGAGAGCACTGAGGGCAGGCATCAGGTGAGCAAGCTAGTGAAACATTGCACGCGCAAACGAGAAGGTCTGCACACATCCAAAAACTTATTTTAAATGCAAAATTGATTTTCGTGCGCTCAAAATACTTTCTTCTTTGCGAGACAAACATTTTCTCCACAAAACTCAGTTCGCGCGCGTGCAAAACGCACTTTTGCGCGATTAAAATATGATCTTTCTCGTGCAGAATTGTGGCAGAGATGTAATCCCATACTGAGTGGCAATAAACAGCTTGAAAGATCAAAGACGATTTTTAATATAACTCCGACTGGATTCGCCTGAAAGAAGAAAGTCATATACACCTAGGATGACTTGAGGGTGACTAATTTATGGGCTAATTTTAATTTTTGGGTGAACTAACCCTTTAAAGCAGAATGACATCTCAGCGCAAACTTTTATTAGTGGTGTTTGCTAAGCATCAATATTACTATTGCTCGTACTTTGGGTTAAAGGTTTTTCATACGTCTCCAACCTTATTAGTTTTACTCAATTACTTAGACACTAAGATCCATTAGATCAGGCAAATATTACTAAAAATGCTAAATTAGCATTTTCTAAAAGATTTCTCCAAACTATTAACACTATTCCTGTTTCACAACTCTAAACACATATTTAGCATTCAACACCATGCGTTCATGTTCAGTAGTGTTCTAGAACCACCACAACTGTTAGTTCTCACCTTGTGAACACAATAGTATACAGCATTTTTTCATGCAAGTCATAACAACAAGATGTATAAAAATTAGTGCATGTGAATTGGCTGTAGATACAATAAATGCATGTTCAGGAATTGTTTAAAATGTGATAATATTTGAGCATACCAAGCATAATAATTTAGATTACTGTAGCATTATGCTGCAATCTCCTAAATAGACATTTAGAGAAAATAAATCCTGATTCATTATAGTGAGAAGTAATTGTTCTTCTGCTCTTACTGTGACACTGCAAGTTTTAACAAAACATCAGGTCCAGATTTGTTTAAAAAAGCCACTTTTTCTTTATTAAAAAAGAAAACTTAAATAGTTAAAAACATGAAATATTGCAGCAATACAAGAGACAATAAAATAAGGATATAAGATAATAAAATAAGAATACACATGCTTACAAATGGCATGATATGTTAATGTGGTTATAATGTGTTATAATATTAAAGTAGAACAAAAAATAAATATTAAACTTTTATTTAAATGATAAATCAATAGTGAAAATGTCAAAACATAAATATTAAAAGATAAAAATAAAACGCCCATTGGGATGATATGAACTAAACTTATGTGGATGTACTTGTGATGCAAAGCGCAGTGAAGTTCAGGAATGTGCAGAGGGGTTTTGTCCATATTACCAATATTTTATTAGTCAAAAATAATAAAATAAAATAAAATAAACAAATTGGTTAAACCAGGTGTAAATCTGTTAATCCTTGATCAAACTCGCCAGACAGTAACTTTCTAATAATCCTGAAGACCTTGATTAGCTTGTTCAGGTGTGTTTGATTAGGGCTGGAGATAAACTCTTCAGGAAAGTGGACCTCGAGGGCCAGAGTTGAGAACCCCTGGGTTAAACAGTTTAACATCCATGTTTCTGGTTAAAGGCAGTATTACATAAATAATGGACCCTTATTCTTATCTATTCCAAAGTGTAACCTACTTTTTACAGTCAGTTCATCATGGATAAAATCAAATGAGAAAGAAATCAATGGAAGTCAAGTGGGCTGGTAATTCTGGTTCATGTTGACTTCAACAACCATGAGATGCCTAAAGGTTAGTCATCGTGAATCTGGAGTGACTCCTGTATTTCATACACACACATAGAGAGATCAGAAAGGGAGTTCATTTCTGCATTTAAATGCAGTCACTCTCAAAACTGAAGATGACGTTTTCTCACCATCACAACAGTTTAAATGAAAGCTTCTTTCTCTTCGACATGTAACTGTTAAATACAGACCAAAAAACAATCCTTTCAGCATTTACTTATTGGCATGCATGTTTTTTCTCTCTTAATTTATTGCTTTTATGGACTACCATCATATATGAACTAGATTAACTGAAATAAATTTGACAACAAAAAATGTATGTGTCAGTGAGGAATTTGTGTATTTTTAGGGAAAAAGATACACAGAAAGAGAAGGAGTCAATTCAGTATTAATAACACATTGTTTCTGAACAAACCCTCAGTAAGTAAGCCAAAGATGATAGCCACATAATATATGATATGGTAATATTGACTTATTTGCTGGTTTAAATATGATGATTATTGAAATTAAAAATTATTATTATAACATCTAATAAATCAGTCAGGCGTTTCCCCTCTCATCCTGCAGCATTTGAAAATCAGCATGACAGTCACTAGCAGATATGGACAAACTGTCAGTACAGAACGTCTCGGTTACGTATGTAACCCTCGTTCCCTGAAGGAGGGAACGGAGATGTCACGTCGGATGAACGACGAATTGGGATCTCGCTTAGAGGGACCAATCTACTTCGAGTGTAAACTAAACGAG